CTTTGGCTGGTGTTTCAGTCTCTGAGAGCCAACATGGGTCCAGATTGGTTGACTCTGTGGCCTTCTTGTGGTATCCTTGACCCCTCCAACTCCCTCTATCCTTTTTCCCTCTCTTCCACAGAACTCCCCAAGCTCAGTCTATTCTTTGAGTGTGGGTTTCTGCATCTGTTTCCATCAGCTGTTGAATGAAACCTTTCAGAAGACAGTTAAGCTAGGCTCCTGTCTGCAAGCATAGCAGAGTATCATTTATAGTGTCAGGGGCTGGCTCTCTTCCATGTGGTGGGTCTTAAGTTGGGCCAGTCATTGATTTGCCATTTCCTCAATCTCTGCTCCATCTTAATCCCTACACTTCTGATAGACAAGACAAATTTGGATGGAAGGTTTTATGGTTGGGTTGTGTCCCCCTCCCTCCACAGGAAGTCCTACCTGGCTACAGGTGATAGCAGCTTCAGGCTTCTTAATCCCCTTTGCTAGGAGTCTCAAGTACCCAATAGACTCCTGGGAGCCTCTCCTGTCCCAGAGATGCACCCCTTACCAACTTCTGTTCTTTCTCCTGGTCTCCCCCAATTCTCCATGCATCTGATTCCCACTCTCACCCCATTACCCTCCCTATCCCCTTTCCCACCCAGTCCCCTCCTACTATCTACTTCAGATGTCTATTTTATTTCCTCTTCTGAGTGAGATTCACACATCCTCCTCTGAGCCCTCCTTGGCTTCTTTGGGTCTATAGACTGTAGCGGGTTATCTTGTATTTTATGGCTAATATCCACGTATGAGTGAATATATACCATGTGTGTCTTTCTGAGTCTGGGTTACCTCACTCCGAATGATCTTTTCTAGTTCTGTCCATTTGTTTGTAAATTTCAAGATTTCTTAGTTTTTAATAGTTGAATGGTATTCAATTGTATAAATGTACCACATTTTCTTTTCCCATTCTTTGGTTGAGGGAATATGGGTTGTTACCAGTTTCTGGCTATTACGAATAAAGCTGCTATGAACATAGTTGAACAGGTGTTCTTGTGGTATGGTGGGGGCATTTTCTGGGTTTATGGCAAGGAGTGGTATAGCTGGGTTTTGAGATAGAGCTATTTCAAATTTTCTGAGAAATCTCTAGATTGGTTTTCATAGTGGTTGTACAAGTTTGTACTCCCACCAGCAATGTAAGATGGAATCTCAAAGTCATTTTGATTTGCATTTCCCTGATACCTAAGGATAATGAATATTTCTTTTGTTTCTGATCAATAAATGATAATTTAATGTCCCTTTTAAAAAATTTTTAATTTTGTGTTCAATTTACATAGTTGTAGTACCATTCCTCCCCCCCTCCCAAGCCCATTCTCTCTCCTTTTCTTCAGAAAAGAGGAGCTCCCTTTCCCATCCAGCCCAGCTCATCAAGTTGCATCAGGACTGAGCATATCCTCCTCCCCTGTGGCCTGGCAAGGCAGACCTGCCAGGGAAAAGTGATCAAAAAGCTGGCAAGTGGGTCCATGTCTGATGCAATCTCTACTTCCTTTACTAGAGGACCCACATGAGGTCTAAGCTGCCCATCTGCTAAATCTTTATAGGGGGCCTAGATCCAATTAGTGCATGGTCCTTGGTTGATGTTCCAGTCTCTGGTTCATGGACTCAGTTGGTTTTCTTGTGGAGCTCCTGTCACCTCCAGGTTCTTTTCTTTTTCCTCCCACTTTTCCACAAGACACCCTACGCATCACCCAATGTTTGGTTCTAAGTCTCAGCATCTGTTTTGAGGCACTGCTGGGTAGTAACTCTCAGAGGACAACTCTGTCAGACTCCTGTCTGCAAGTTTAGCAGAGCATCATTTATAGTGTCAGGGGTGGCACTGTCCAATAGAGTGGGTCTTCGGTTGGGCCAGGCATTGTTTGAGCATTCCCTCAATCTCTGCTCTATCTGCTTTATCTTTATCCCTGTACATCCTGTAGGTAGGACAAATTTTGGGTCAAAGTTTTTGTGGGTGGGTTGGTGTTCCCATTCCTTTGCTAGGAGACTAGTCTAGTTAGTGGGTGTGCTCTATGGCCTCTGCTACGAGGAGTCTCTGCTTGAGTACCCCTCATATCCTCCCAGGAGCCTACCCTGACACTGGTCTCCAGATTGTCACAGAAATAATCCTACCCTCATTTCTTGTTTCTCTACAGGGCTTCTGATCTCTTGACCTTGCTGTCCCTATGTCTGTTCTTCACCCTCCTCTGTGCCCCTTTCTTATCTTGTTCCCTCTCTTCAGCCACTATCTCTGTCCATTCTATCTCCCCTTCCTAGTGTGATTTATATGTTCTCTTTTAGAGGTTGAACATTTATTTAAGTGCTTCTCGACAATTAGAGATTCCTGTGTTGAGAATTCTGTGTTTAATTCTGAACCTCATTTTTCAATCAGGTTATTTGGTTTGCTGGTGTTTAATTTCTTGAGTTCTTTATATATTTTATATTTTAGCCCTCTGTTGGATGTAGGGTTGAAGAAATTTTCAATTCTGTAGTCTGCCACTTTGTCCTATTGATGGTTTTCTTTGTCTTACAGAAACTTTTCATTTTCATGATTCCCCATTTATCTGGAATACTCTTTTTAAAAACTCTATTTGGGGTGTTGAGGCATCAACCTCTCCTCCAACCTCCCAATCCTATGTAGGAAAAAGTTAGTGAGGAGAGAGGGCACCTTTACTTCTCCTGGAGGTTTAGGGATGAGGGTTTTTTTTTTTTAATTTTTTTTATTTAGGACTCTATACAAATCTTTATTGATAGCAGATACAGTCAGCAGTCTTCAAGCCACTGTACCTATAAGTGTTTCTCTCTGCTGTTTGCTCCAAAAGGCCACACTGTCCATCTCTCAGGCCTCTCCAAACTGCTAACATCACACACCAACACCGCATGCCAGCTTTCTCTTTCTGGGCTTTCAGTTTATAACATCTAAGCCCTAAACCACACCCCTTTTCATGCCGCACATGTAAGGCTATTATCAGCTGGCAAAAGCCACACTCTGCATGAGGCAATTAACAGGTGTGAACAGACTACAGCCCAACTAAAATCCAACACTTGGGATTAAAACAAACTGAGTTTACAAAGAAACCAAAACTTCAATTACATTTAATAATTGTTGATCTTAGTGTTCAGAAAGTAGTTTCCTGTGCCAATGCATTCAAGGCTATTTCCCACTTTCTCTTTTAATGGAGTTAGTGTAACCAGTTTTTTTTTTTTTTAATTTTTCAATACAGGGTTTTTCTGAGTAGCCTTGCTCTACTGGACTCAATCTGTAGACCTTGAACTCACAGCAATTCACCTGCCTCTGCCTCCCTGAGTGCTGGGACTAAAGGCATCTGCCATCACACCTGGCTTAGTATATTCAGATTTATGTCGAGGTCTTTGATCCACTTGGACTTGAATTTTGTGCAGGGTAATAGATATAGATCTATGTGTATTCTACATGCAGACATCCAGTTACACCAGCAGCATTTGTTGAAGATGCCCTTTTTATTTTTTGTATGGTTTTGGCTTTTTTTCATCAAAAATCAGGTGTCTGTAGGTGTGTAGGCTTATTTCTAGGTCTTTGATTTGTTTCCATTTATCAACCTGTCTGTTTTTATGCCAATACCATGGTTGTTTTAATTTGTTTATTTTTTTTTATTATTATTGCTTTGTAGTATGGCTTGAAATCAAGGATGGTGATATCTTCAGCAGTTGTTTTTTTTTATTTCTAAAGAATTGTTTTAGTTATGTTGGTTTATTTTTTATTTTTTATTTTTAAATGCTACCCTGTTCCCAACTAAATCAAGATAGGAGCTTTCATCAAAATTTGTACATAAAGGTATTCAGTATATGTTCACTAACTAATGAATAAATAAAAGATGTGGCATTTAGACAAAATAAAATATCATTTAGACAGAAAAACAAAATACTGACAGACATTAAAGTCATTAACTATAATTTTGTATTATTTAATTATTGAATGAGACTTTTCTCAACAACAACAGCCTCATTCTTTATTTTATATTGTGATGTATGTTCAAAGTTTCTTCACCAATTATTTGTTCAGTACCACATGGTTACTCTGAAAACTGAGAAACAATTAACATTATATGGACTGGACAAATTAAAAGTAGAAGTATACATATTCACACATATACATTTATGCATGAAATAACAATTAGTAAAAAAAGAGGACATGAATCTGAAAGAGAGCAGAGACAACAGGTACTTGGAAGGGCTTAGAAGAAAAGTGAAGGGAGAAATGTAATGATTGTAGGTAAGCCTCAAAATCTGCCAAGACCTTCACCTTCCACCTATTAATAATCACAATAACATATATTTTTCTTTCTGTAGAATCTAAGAAGATTATTGTTATACATAATTACATATGACAATTTGGATACTACCAAATTATAACCTTATCAAGAGCTATGGGCATGACGGTTCTTTCACCTATCTATCTAGAAGGTGGCTACCCTGGAGTTCTCTTCAGCAACTTTTATCAAAATTTTTAGGGAAACAAAGCTCCAAGATTAACTGAACATAAACCTAGCAGAGGGAGGGGAGGAGAGAGAGGGAGGTGGAAAAGAAATAGTCAGAGAATTAATGGATTGGGGCTGAGAAGAGTGTACAAGTGAAGGGAAGTCTCCTTGGCAGTTGTAATTTAGCAAATATAGAAAGCAGAACAGTTAACTGTCCACTCTGTCCACAAATCTTGCTGTTCCAGAAAGGCTTAAAAAATCCAAAAGACAAACTAGGGCTGCCCTCTGCATTTGTTCACATCTAAAGGATACTCATCTTCTTCTTCTCAGAGAGCCTCCCTCTCGTAACCATTGCTTTCTTGTACAGATAATACTTTCTGGTTCTCTATCCAAGACCATGAAGAATAAGAGGAGCACAATGCTGACTCTGGAGCCTGTTTCCTAGAGGTGTTGTGATTGAGATAATAAGAATGACTAGCCTATTAGGCAGCATAGACTCTGACTGGATACAAGTGGTAAAGTAAATATGCAGAAAAAGAAAAATACCTTGTAAGCTCTTCTTTAATCTTCAAGGGTTCGTGTGGGTAGAATTTCACTCTAAAGCACATGGTGTATGGTGGATGAGCTGAAACATCATAAAAAAAGACATGAGATAAGCGGCAAAACATCACAGACTCCAACACACACAGGAATTTCAGCAATGAAGGAACCAACTAGCAGGGAAGGGAGGAATGTTGAAGGAAAGAGGCCAATAGAATGCCTAGGAGGATAATATGATGGTGACTCAAACAAAGTATTTAACAGAGTAAATGCAGAATACAAGTAAACAAGGCAAAAAGTCTGTCTTTCCCCATCACAACTCACCTTCATCCCTTCATCTCTTCATAACACAGGAAGAGGATATTTTCTCCTCTGATACTTTATACCCTCATGTGAAAGACAAAATGTCAAAAAGTACCATTCAGGTTTTGAATGCATGAAATAATTTTTAATGCATGAAGTGGAAAATTGCTGTTATACATGTGTTCTTAAGTGAAAAAGATGGTGTCTTTCAGGTATTATTATGTTTTTAAGAAGTCAGCCACATAATATTTGTTGGTTTTTATTACTATCTACATATGAGGTTAAATGGAATTTTATTCTCTAATTCTTCTTTCAAGATAAGCAGGAGTTAAATCATCACCAGACAGTTCACAGTATCTGAGCTATTCTGGATGTAATCAAATTTGTTTCATAAAAAGTACTACCAGTTTAAATTTGGCTGTATAATAAATAAAATTCATATGGTAAATAATTATTGCACTGATTTCAGAGTTGAGCTGATGAGTTGGCTTGGCAAGTAAAGAAGCTGGTCCCCAAGTCTGATGACCTGAGTTCAGTCCCTGAGACCTGCATGTGGAGAACCAACTCCTGCAAGTTGTTTTCTGATCTTCACATGCCCTACCCCATAAATAAAATAACTATAACTAAAATAATTGAATGGAAAATATACACATCATAAGAACAGTGCTATTATATTAGGGAAGAAAATGTGAATACACACAGAAATGAGTACATACTCACAATCACACAGGAGTCAGTATGCTGTTTTCCTGTCAGTAAATTTCTTAAGTTATTGCTACCAACATGACCCTATGTTTTATATTTAAGAAAGAAAGGTATTGATGCATTGATGCCTATCTGCATTCTAGGACTCAGGAAACAGAGGCAGGAAAATCATCAGGCATTTCAGACAAAGCAGTGTTCTATGTGAATGAGAGCTAAGTAGTAAGACCCTATCTTTAAAATAGTAATCATAGTAAATTCTAATTAAAGAAAGGAGAGAATGAATAGATGATTAATGAGAAGAGCACTTACTGTGAAAGCAAGAGGACCTGAGATCAAATTCCTACCACACACAAAAGTCGGCATAGCTTTGCAAATCCTAGCCTTCAGACTATGAAGGTTCCTGAGTTTGTTGGCTAGTACACTTAGCCAAATAGTAAGTTTCAGGTTCAGCAAGTGAGCCTGTTCCCCCCACCAAAAGGTAGAAAACAACAACAAAAAGACAAAGTCTTTCTCAGGCGTCCAAAGGCATGTACAGAGGTACATGCGTGTACTATACACACCATACATAGAAATACATACCATGAGAGGTGGTATATTTTCTTTATTATGAAAAATGGACACTTTTCATAAGGCAATAATGCAACTTAGAAAACTACAAGTGAGTCTTAAGTCATTCATTTCATATCTAGAACATAAAATATTTTATCATTGAACATTATCTAGAGTTTGATTTTTTGAAAATCATCTTTAAATTACGAAAAATTATGATTTTCATTATAAAACATTTGTACTGTTTTATAACAGAAAACTGTTTTTACTAGAAAAACAATTGAACTGAAGATTTAAGAGACTTTTCTCTATTTTCTGTATTACTTCCATCTTTATCTCTTGTTAAAGTTTTCTTTCTAAGATTTTTAGATAGATACATAGAATAATGTCCAATAAATAGAATGATAGGTAGTCCATCCTCCTTTAGGTTGTCTCTGTTCCTGATGTTTCATTGTTTAAGATCGTACCAAATACCATCTCTCCTCCTACTATTAATAATTTTTTTATATTCTTCTATGTAGGCTTAGATTTTTTAACACCTATTTTATTTAAAGTTCTTAAACATGTTTATCTCCCTTCCAACCCCTGACCTTATGAAGATTAGTAGAGAAAGGGGCTATAGACCTAGCAGAGGGTTTACTTCCTGCTATTAAAGGTTGATGGGTTCTTTGGGAATTACTAATCTCAGTTGTCAGGGTACCATCAGTCTAGTCAAACAGCAAAGCAGCAACAGCAACATGCATCAGCAGCGATGGAAGTATTCAGTAGAAGTGGCTAGACTCCACACAAATGGCAGAGTCCACTGAAGCTGCAGAATTACACCAAAGCAGCATAGGGGTTTCTCTGGAGCAAATTTCTGTGTGAGGACCAGTGAAGGATGTGAACCATAACAGTGAAAAAGCGTAGAGATGCAGAGATCATTGTCTCGATGTCTGTGGGCTTCTATCTAACCCTTCTTAAAGTCCACAAAAGGATATTTTGCAGCCTCCTCACACTGGGTAGCTTTCAGTTTACCAATAATCATGTGCCCTCTCACAGGAGTTATTTTATGCAGGGGTTGTTATCCACAGGGTAAAAACATTCCCATATTCCATACTTGGAACCAAAACAACATATTCACATGATACAACTGAGTTTGCAAGGAAACCAGAAACTTCCACTTCACTTGTATGAGTTTTATGATCTCATTCATATATATTCTTATATACTCATACACATGGAGGCATCTTTTATTTACTTTCTCAAAATTAAATCAAACAATGCATGTTTCTTTTATTTTTATCATATAAAGCTTTACATGCCCCTTCCTCCAGTAGGGTATATGTAATATCTATATAACTCATTTCCCATAAGCTGCAATAGCTTATATTATGTGTAAATCCAAATTTACTCACATATTAGCCAGAAATTTTCATTCTAGTTACTTTCAAAGTTTTACAATTAAATATTTTGTGGTATTCATTATTTTGTGTAGGTCATAATGCAGTCTAAAAGTGGAATGCCTGGGCCAATATGTACTGGAAAAAATTTTCAAAGACACAGAAAATTAAATTTTCTGACTGGATGCAAACTGTTCTATAGGTTTTCTACAAGTAGGGGCATAATCTTTTAGGATATGGACTTATCATGCCCTACAGTTGGGTGTAACACACATCTAAGTTCATCACACACAAATCAAAACTAGTGATCACACAAAGAAAGACATAGTTTCACAGTTACCATCTTTGAGTACATCTGAGTGAAGGAACACCTCTACCCAGTCACTTTCACTCTAATGCAAAGGCTACCTCTGTCATGTGAGAATTCTGCCTAATTAGAAAACTGTGCTCCTAGCACTACAGTCTTTTCTCTCTTTAAATATTTTAAAAAAATTATTTATCTTATGCATATGACTATTTGGCCTTCATGTGTGTATGCACATCTCTTTTGTGCTGGTGCCTGCAGAAGCCAGAAGAGGACATAGGATTCCCTGGACTTGGAGTTACAGACTTTTTGCTGGAATGTAGGATGCTGGAGAAATAACCCAGGTCCTCTGCAAGAAAAACAAATAATCTTAAACACTCAGCCATCATTACAGCCTTAAAAGACTTGAGTCTTTTCTAAAATAAAATTAAAAAATAAAAAAAAACTACCCACAATTCTTCTCTCTGTTTCTACTAGGAGACATTTTCAAGTGCTCTAAACAAAGTTTTTCTATGGCAGCTCTGTGCTTCCTTAAATATGGGGTCCTGGTGACTCCTTAGTACTTAATCTTCACAACATGTAAATCTTAATTATTTTCACATGTGATGTGGCTTGTGACAAGCAAAAAAAAAAAATACACTGTGTTCTGATATCTCCTTACTTTTTTGTGAATGTAATCATAGATAAAACTAGTAAGTTGTAGTCATGACACGTTATTATTTTTTTTAATTTTATTTTTTCTTATCAGTTACATTTTATTAACTCTGTATCCCAGCCGTGTCCTGATTCCTCATTCCCTCCCAGTCCCTCCCAGTCCCTCCCTCCCTCCCTCATCTCCACCGTGCCCCTTTCCAAGTCCACTGATAGGGGGGACCTCCTGCCCATTCATCTGATCCTGTTTTATCAGGTATCTTCAGGACTGGCTGCAAAGCTCTCCTCTGTGGCCTAACAGGACTGCTCCTCCCCTGGGGGGTGGGGAGGCCAAAGAGCCACTCATTGAGTTCCCATTAGAAATAGTCCTTGTTCCCCTCACTATGGGAAGCCAATTGGTTACTGAGCTACCACAGGCTACATCTGAGCAGAGGTTCTAGGTTACATTCATACAAGGTTCTTGGAAAAAAAAACACTTACAGAGACCCTAAATCAAATGGACCTAATAGACGTCTACAGATCTTTTCATCCAAACTCAAAAGAGTATACCTTCTTTTCAGCACCACATGGAACCTTCTCCAAAATAGACCATATAGTTGGTCATAAAGCAAGCCTCAACAGATACAAAAAGATTGAAATAATCCCTTGTATTCTATCTGACCACCATGGACTTAAGCTGGACCTCAACAACAACGGAAATAACAAACAGCCTACACGCACATGGAAACTGAACAACTTGTTACTCAACGACAGCTGGGTTAAGGAAGAAATAAAGAAAGAAATTAAAGACTTCATAGTCTTTGAATGAATGAAAATGAAGGCACAACATACCCAAATTTATGAGACACATTGAAAGCAGTGCTCAGGGGAAAATTTATAGCACTAAGTGCCTGCAAGAAGAAATTCGTAACATCACATACAAACAACTTAATGGCCCAACTGAAAAACCTAGAAAAAAAAGAAGCAGATACACCCAAGAGGAGCAGAAAGCTGGAAATAATCAAACTCAGGGCTAAAATCAATCAATTAGAAACAAATAAAACTATTCAAAGAATCAATGAAACAAAAAGCTGGTTCTTTGAGAAAATCAACAAGATAGACAAACCCTTAGTCAAACTAACTAAAAAGCAGAGAGAATCTATCCAAATCAACAAAATCAGAGATGAAAAGGGTGACATAACTACAGACACAGAG